CACTGTGGCTTCATATTTAATTTACTATATGCCCACAGGATACTTAAGACTAACAAAAAGCGATCTAACAAGGGGAAGCAGATACTACTACTAGCGTTTGTCACATGCAATTCGGTCATGAGCCAGTTGTTGATTGTAGCTGAAAGTTTGATTATTCTGATTGCCTTGGCGGAGTGTAGGTAGTACGCCTTCGTATCGCCGTCACTCGCATAGCATGATAATCATATTCCTGTTCGTCCCACTGAACCCCGTCAAGTCTATGTATCTTCCCTCTAAGATTGGTTAATAGCTGGCGTACTCGTTTGAATGTATAGTAGAGTTAGTAGCTACAGTTTCATAAACCAGATAGCCACTGCAAGAAAGTTAAACGTAACCAATAAGTATTATATGCGAATGCTTTCACGATTTCTAATAGACGTAGAGTGCGCGGCGCATTCCAGAATGAATTGACTTTACCCCGATCCCTCGTTTCGGAACTCCTCTTGATAATCCATGAACCTAGGACACGTTTTGGCTTTTCAGATAAAAAATAATAAAAAAATAATGTCAAGTCATAATGCTAACTCGAGCTTTATCGCAGAAAACTAATGAGAACCTAGTTTGGTTCCAAAGCTTTTTTTGCTGGCCGGTACCAGGAGCTAAAAGAGCGCAGAAAAAACACTAACTTTCTAGAGACTATTTTTGAAAAGCACTTAAAAGTGACCGTAGTCTGAGCAAATAGCATTAGTTATTTTGCAAAGATTGGAAGCTGCCATAAGCCCCCGGGGGAGGTGGCAGACCGAATGTGGATCCTTTTTCTCGACTTTTTTTGAGTTCTTTACAATCATTATGCTGGTGGCGTCGACGATTCGCCTCTCATTGCTGCGTCTTTCTCGTCTCCTCTCACTCTTCCTTCCTGAGAGAGCTCTCGATCTTATTCACGCGATTCTTCCCCCATTTGTCGCTTCGTCCAAACAGCCCATCTAAGAATGTTTCGAGCAAAAATTCAGTGCACTTCATGACTACCTTCAAAAGAACCCCCTCTTATGAGCATTCCGTATTGATGAGATTCTTTGCGGACTTCAACAAACATCTCCCAGAATCCATAAAGACATGTTATATTTACATATTTATAGTAATATCTCATATATTTACACTTGGATGCGTCCAATTTATTTGTCATAGATATTTATAGAATTATGCATTTGTGTGTAAGTCTATGATTCCTTATTTAGATTCTACTTGAGCAATGTTCTTGTCCTTGACATTTTCGGGGTCTAATCGTTACAGACGAAGAAGCTGATGGACCCGTGAGGATGCAAGTAACCTTACCCGTGGGAATTTTGTAAAAAATAAAGCTGTTGGGCTATAATCAGCCCCTCTTTTTGGAATCATCCATCTCCGGGGACAAATTGCTCATTTCAGAGGAATGTGTCATGGATGCCGGCAGCCATTTGGTACACCCCACAAAATCCTGTATAATGGCCATACCATTAAGGGAACATGTCCATTATGTCTCGTCGTAGGACTGGGAAGACGTCACCGAATGAAAGCTCCATGAAAGGCTGCCTGCGAAATGCCGTTCCTAGGAAACCTTTCCATGGAGCTTCCATTCCTCCCGAAGCTTCGACTCTTCATTTTCCAGAATGATTGTGACTCGGAAAACCTGTAGTATCAGAAACCGATCAGTTTTTCAGCAGTGGCAAAGCCTAACCATTCAAAGTAGGCAAGGAATTGCGGTTGTAAAGCCTTAGCACAGGGTCTATTTTCCCGAGTCAATCCTTCTGGAATCCTTTTCCTTTAAAATCCCGGGCTCGTAGTTCTGCAGACTAACTAGACCTTCCACCTCTCCGGGGTCGACTCATTGATACAAAGCTCATCTGGGAAAATGGAAATACGGGCTTTTACATCGGCTGGCCACAGCAACTCGTTGTATAGTTAGCGTAGCATTCAGACAGTCACTACTAATCCAAGCGGAAGTTGAATGCTGGGCGTATCTCAAAAACGAGATTGATCAACTCCAGAGGCTTTGCTCTTCCATCCTTCATTAATGTGACTGATCTTGCTAAATTTTCCCTAGATGGTAGAGGATGTTGCACATCTCTGTTATGCGGACTACGGTGATCACGATCTTTAAGACTCTCATGGGCCGAGAAAAGCGAATTATGCCCGCTCAAGTAAACGCCTATAACCGCTTTGATTTATGCATGCGTTTACTTGCCCATGAAACCATGAAAGCCAACCAAGCTTGACAGGTGCCAGGTAGGCGAACTAGGCAGAGATCCTAGAAAGAGTTATGGCTACCTGTGGTATACCGACCCCTTCCTTGTGATGTCCATTTCTGTCACTCTTTCTCTAAATCCCATCAATGCTTAATATAATTTACATATGAATTATAGCAGGGCGGAGGTGGTGTAGTGGCAAGTGGCGCACTAGATCACACGCACGGCCAGGGGTTCAGATCCCGGATCGATGCCCGCCTAGACCAACCAAGCCTTCCATCCCTCCGGGGTCGGTTAATTGGTACCAAACTCGTCTGGGAGGATAAAAGCACTAACTTGTACATCGGCTGGCCACCGCAAGTCACTGTATAGGCCACATACGCACTCATTACGCCACTACGATTCAGAATGGAAGACGAGTGCGGGGGCGCATCCCTCAGACGGGATTGATTAACGCCAAAAACTTTATCCTTTTATCCTTATGAATTATAGCAACTTTTTTCCAATTTTTTTTCTCCATACACCTCAATTTGCTGAGTTCCATCCTTCTATGACTTGAGTTCACCCCTGTCTTGTTTGATGCTTGAATGTTAACTCTAGACTAACGATATTCTCTACATTTTCTTCAGTAACACCAAGGACACTACGAATCCGGTGCTAGGGATCAAGTGAAGGGTCCCTTCCTCTACTCCCATTTCAATCTTTATTCGGTGGATTCTATTCGGTCACCATCTCCATGACCTCTTACGATTGAAAATCGTTATAACAGGAATACGAATGGCTATGTACAATGACTACTTCACCTCTGTTTTTGTAACTTATCATTAATCGACAACACCAAAATCTATAAATAGAAGGGAGTAAAAGTATAAGCGAATCTCCAGTGGCTGATTATTATCTTGATTATATCTCACGAATATCGAGGTTAACATAAGGGGATCACTTCACTGTAAGCATCTCTTGCTCCATGCTGGTGTGAAGTAAAATTTTTATCACAACGCGGTATAGTGCGCAATTTTACCTTATCGTCTTCTATCACTTGCTGTGACTGTTTTAACCCATCATGGTATTCATTGCTCAGATAACTAATAGTAGGATGGGACTGTACATGTACTAGTGCCTATAATTGCTTAAACACATTAAACACCCAGGGTTGGATGTGCGGAGAGGTAAAAGGCAGTGAGAGGTGTTAAGCTATGATAACAGGCGGTGATTCCAACGTTTGCACTGATACGTAACTCTCACTAGCGATCACGACCCCAATAACTAAAGACTGGTTAGAAGATGGAATAGCGTCAGAGTTGAAGGGACGCTCTAAACTTGTGGAGGGAATAGTGTGGGAGATTTTTCATTGCGATAGGAGATACTGATAATATGGGAAAGAGGGGAGCCCAACCTAAAGCGTGCCTAACATCATGAAATCTATTAGTACTGGTCAGTTCCCTCTTGGAGTATGCCCTATTCAGGATTTTTACACAAAACTGTAGCGCATTTAAATGTCTACCCAATGAAGGGGCCATCTTAGGTTTATCGAGCAGCTATGGAGAGAGGGTAGAGGTTGGAAATTCGGATTATGCGGTATTCGACTTGACGTATGGTTATAAGTATAGCACTCACTTCAGGACACTTGATGCCACCTCACCCTATCGCGATTGTTTTTCAATAAAAATAACTGCAGGAAGCTTTCTCATAAAATCCAAATCGGTCACCCCATACTCCGATAAAGTGGGTAATTTTGTTTTAGCTTGCATTATAGCATATAGAGGCTAAATAAATAAATCGACTAGAATTCTTGCTATTACATGAGCAAATGGGGCTATTTGTCGGATAAGGGCACGGCTTTATGGGTTCCAGTGCTACGCAGAAATGGCGAAAATCACCACTGAGCACGACAATAGCGTCCGGTGAATAGTGCAGCTAGGTTGAAACGCCAAGACTTCAAGGCTTACTTTAACCTGCTTATTATCGAATCGGCTCTTCTATGCGACCAAAACGAATCTTCTGTGATAAAACCTCAGGCTCTTTAAACTGTTGTTAAGCTTAATAGAAAAAAACAAAAACAAAAAAGACTTTTCAAACTCTCGCGATAGCAGAACTCTTGTAGAAAACTTCAGAAATTTCATGAAGGTTCCAAAAGACCAGTGAAATATGCATAGCTAATGGTAATCAGCTCAAGTTTTAGGTAGGGTTCGATGAGCATCTACTACTTTTAGCAGGAACCCATTCATGTTTTTGAAAGCCGCCTACAAGCTTCCCTTGGTTTTTTTTNTTTTTTTTGCTTTTCCGAATACTATCATAGTCGATCTAGAAAATGTTCTGAAACGACAAGGTTTAAAGCCCTAGAGCTCGTATGTGTTGTTGAAGGTATCTATGATCCTTCTCATTAAATCTTGTGTTCCTTCTTTTTCGCTTTTCTGTAATTTCATGATTGATAGGTATGAATTAATTGCAAGGGCGTTCAAAGAGAGGCCACTGGCGACGTTTTGCAAGACTTACAGGCCCCATCTATGTACACTGAGAGATTGAGCAAAGACCTTTTCATCTTTCCTCTTTTTCCAACAGACAGTTCCTATTCTACTGTTGACAATTGTCACAATAGGATATGTCCTAGTAATGGAATTGGGACAATCGCCACGGAAAGGGTCATAACCTCGCTCAATATAAACAATGTCCCTCGTTTTCTACTCGATCTGTCGAGTTTCTTCTGCAATGGATTTCGCCGCCTTTTAATTCGGGTTAAATATACCATGTGAGGAGGAACAATCTTTTCAATAGGTAATTCAGCTTATTCCAGACCCGATGCGGCGATCGCGCAGCGCCGGCGATAAATTCGTGTTCGGTTCACGACGTCGCACTTTGACGCCCTCGTCTCGATTCGATGAAGAAGAACAGGACACCGGTACGGCTACCATTTTGTTTGATCCATTCTAATTTCACACGGACTTCAATGCTAGGCTAGTGGTTTCCAATATAGATCAGATGGATTAGGGAAATTAAATTGTTTGTGTAATAAATAATAAATAAATAAACAAGTACAATAAACAAATAATTGAATTGGATAGTGTCGCTTCTGAATTACAGCTCGAATACGGAGTTTGGTGGCGCTACGGGGAAGTACTGCAAGATTTGAGATCTTATAATATGCTTGGTTACCCACTGCCACTAGTGGTTAGATATTTTATTATGCGCCCAACTATATAAACTATATAAAAATAGTGGACTCAATGAAAACAAAAACAGCATCGTTGTCAGAGGAGAGAAGGCAGTCTCAAAAATAAACAGGAAAGAAGAAAAGCATTCAGATTTTGTAATAGTCGTATCAAAAAGGTTGCGTTAAGGAGGCCAAAGTGGACTGCTACTAGCTAGTTGTCTCGCTGCGCGTCATCTCTCAACTGTGATTTGCAGAGGCTTTATTTGAGAAAGGGCCTCCACTTTTATATTGGGCCAGGCCCCTTCTCAAGAACCTTTTGCCTTCTGCATTATCTGCGCCTATTTTCTCTCAAAAAATACCTTTTGTTCAGAATCATTTATTGGTATGAAATCGCCGAGACCAAATAGGGCCCCCATGTCACCAGCGAGGAATCCACAATTGAGCAAGGATAGACAATACTGGAACAGTAACTATCACATTACCGAGTGGCAACGACGTCAACCTTCAAATGAATTTGAGAAAAAGGAACTTGAACGGTTTCACAAATGGATCCTTGAAAGGTGAGCGCATGAAGGAAAGTTTGAGCCATGTATCCAGTTTTTTAGGGAATTTTTCAGTGACAAAAATGCCTCTGTACGTCAAGATGTGGTCAACCTGGTGAAAATGTTATTTCAGAAGCAATGATCAGTATTTTTTATTACTACTTACTCCTAATTTTGCATGCGTGTACAGCATTTTGTATTGACATCTGCATCGAAATCATACGGTCACGTTTTTGAGAAAATACGGACATGGCTATTGGTAATTTCAATTTTTGTAGTGATTGATGGGGTAAGCTTTTGAAAGGTGTTTCTACTCTGGATGGAGAGGTATAAACTATCTCCAAATTGGCCCCCGTACCAGGAACGGTTGAGAAGAAATGATCTTCCCTAAGTGAACTCAAAAACATCCAGTGGATCCTTCCAGAAATTGGGAATAGCTTTGACCGTCCCTAACAGGGTTCACTTGCGCACCGATCAAACACCCAGTTCGTCAGCGTTGAAATAGAGGGAAAGCAGCGGTAAGAATGAAGACATGATAGAAAGTTTAAGTCACCCCCAAACTATCAACCTTCCAAGAGAATACGGTCCCCTTTCTAGACAGGACCTCCCGCCCCCGAACAGTTTTCTTTCTGCCTACGTCAATTTAACTAGTATTCCGAGTTGCATATGCACACGTAATTTAATGCAGAGCTAAATGGGTACATATCCATGGTTGGGCCATACTTTTTTCACTGATTCCAGTAGAAGCCCAGCAGTGACTTACCTCAGCAATAGCCGGATAACTCGTGACTTTTGCATATTTTCTGTACAATTTCGGTTTTATCAGCTCATCAAAAGTTCATTCCAGGCCATCCAGAGTGGAAATACATTTCTAAGACGTTTCTATCTTCACTGGCCCTATCTTGCGACTCTATCGCTACGGCTTCTATTGGAAATTGTAATGTCTCAGAGCCTCATGGTCTAAATATTGTGTAATCCGAAAAGGATACCAGGGATATTCACTTCAAAATACTCAGAACAAAACGCTTGAGACTAGCTTGAAGGTTTTGAATTTACTTTTGGGTTATACAATATTCATGACCTTCACTGTCAAAGCAGTCCTAAAAAAAGCACATCTATCCTTCGTAGTATAATATATGCTTATGCAATCATTGACTAGAAAAGTGATTTGCTCAAAATTCGAGGTTCAGTGACGTCAGTTTGTTGACCATTTGTAGGAGCTGTTTGTTTTGCCGAACAATAAATATTTTTTGTTACTGTTCGTGTCCTTTTTGCCACTCTGTTTCATCAACAACCGTTTCCTCTCGTTTCCTTTTCCTACGTGTGTCACCCAAATTTCCCAGAATTCGTGAGATGGGTTAACGAAAAATCACCTCGACAGGGCGTTATAAGGATTCCAAGGGTCCGGTATCTGTTCTCCGGACATTGAGACGCGCTTGCCACACCCGCCGCTTACCGCAGAAGTTCGGTGGAAGATTGGCACGCGCAGTACCTGAGCTAGGGAGTCCTTTAATAATATATACCTGTTGGACACTTTTTTCAATATCAATGATCGTCGATGATAGAGAAGGAGTCTATTCAAACGATCAAGTCCAATAAACATAAAAACAAAAAAGAAACAGAAATAAACAGTCAAAAACAATCGAAAAAGAAAGGCAGTCAACGGGAAATATGGTGTCACGGGCTAAGTACAGTAATTGCAGTATGAAGCCGCGAGACAACTCAAAAAAGTTTGCCGCATGCTGCTAAGCGAACGTGGGAAATCAGGCGGAAATTCCGCCAGCCTGGTCCAAAACCGGCTTGACTGACGCAAACGCCCAAAAGTGGCCGTGTTATGGCAGCCTTTGTCAAGGTTGCCCATTCGAGATGAAGCGTTAGGATCCGACGAATAGTACGCTCATGTGAGAGACGGCTAGACGATCACAGACTCATAACCTCGTTCAGTAACTTTTCAACTACTTCTCTGAAGTCCTATGTTTCCACAAATCCGCCTATTTTCGCACTTTTTTTTGCTATTTTTGCACTGTTCTGCACCATCACTTCTATTATTTCACTTAAGCTACATACCTTAGAATTATCACGAACCGTGCCTTCTAGTCAATATGTATTGCCATGGGAAACCCTGGCCAATATTAGATTAGACAAACCAAGCCCTACCAAAGAGTTACTGGATATTCACTCGTTTTAAGTATGATGAAAGTACCAACATGTGCACTGGCTGATCTCCCCTAACACATGGTAGGATTCACGCGATCGACCATCACCGTGATTGTAATTGGAAGTCCAGTGCATGGCTCATCCTCAACGAAAATTGAAGAGCATAAAAGAAATTCGTCATCAACTCTGTACATGATACCAAAAGTCTACATATTTGACTTTGCCTAACTTATTTTCCGAATTTTGAAATTCGAAATAAAATGAAATCCCAACACTCAACTTTCTCATAGTTGCTCCATAC